TATATATATATATATACACACACACACACACGAGTAGAGAAAGGGCGGGGAGTGCAATACTTGTCCCCGACCTCATCCCTGCTTTGAGCCAAATAGGGTTGCCTGTTACCGTCCCAAGGACCCGGTTTAGCAAGGAATCCYGTCCCGAGCCGAGACAGGGCCTTTCCTCATGCCTACCTCAAAAGCCACCAATTTAAAAGAATTTTTTTTTGCCTCATTCAACGGCTAAGGTTAACGTGGGATGAGGGGATCAAACTGAGTTACACGTCGTAGGTCCCTTATCAAACAACTACGTTTGTAAACCGTTTTGTTTTGAGTCATTTTGCAAAACTGTTCCGATGAACATACATACATACATACATATATACATACATACATACATACACACACACACATACATATATATATATATATATATATATACTTGTGATCATGTGTGAGACCAAAGTTTTTTTATGAGACCCGTAAGATCAATTTTCAACTCTTAGATTAGATATACAATATGAACATTCATAATCACAAGATTGCTACGAGAGTTATCAACAATCACAAAATTGCCACCGTACAACTTTAGACCATTAAATGATTAGCTTATACAAATTATATATTTATTCTAATAGATCTTGAGTTTCATTAATATTTCTTGATCTAGAAGCTTTGATAATAATAATAAATGAATATGATATGATTGGTTTATATATATAGTTTATGAGATGATGTTACATTTAAAACTCCTATATATAAGATATCCCTATTCCCATGATCATCCTCCCCCTTCTCTCTCTATAATTCACCTTCCACTCGACCAACAGATCTCAACCTATTCATCGCTAAGGTTTGCATCCATCGGTCATCCAAAATGAAAGGTGGCGGAGTTATCGTGGAAGAACGCTTCGTGTACGAGAAGGAAACCCATCTCACTGTTATGAAAACGTCTCTCTTCTTCGCCGGCGATGGATTCACTGTTTATGACACCAACGCTCAAATCGTCTTCAGAGTCGACTCATACGGCCCCGACGCTCATGACGCCGGAGAACTCGTCCTCATGGATCCCTCCGGCCGTTGCGTCCTCACCGTCCGCCGCAAGGTTCGTTTAATTTATTGCAAGTTTTAGTTTTTCCGATTGAATTTAGGGTTCCGTTAACGGTGACGATAAACTGATCGATCAACAGAGGCCGAGTCTACACCAACGGTGGGAAGGGTTTCTAGGTGAGAGAAAAGAAGGTGAGAAGCCGATATTTAGCGCGAAGAGATCGTCGATGATAGGGCGGTCGAACGTGACGGTGGAGGTTTTCGGTGGTCGGACGGAGGAGTACGTGATTGAAGGGTCTTTTGGTCATCGGAACTGTACGATATATGATTCGGAAAAGGAAACAATGGCGGAGATGAGACGCAAAGTGGATTCTTCGACGAACATGAAGCTTGGGAAAGACGTATTCTGGCTGACATTGAAGGCGGGATTCGATGCTGCGTTCGCCATGGGACTGGTTCTGGTTCTTGATCAGACCAACGACGATAATGGCGGCGACGGTGATGTCGATCAACGACGACATTGACTTCGACTTAACTGCTGCCATTTTGACCAACATAAATACATGCACTTATTTTCTCTAAGATAAAATATGGTTCCTAAATTTCATATGTTATGTTTTAAATTTCCACTCAAACCTTTTTTGTTTACGTGTATTTATATGATTGGTGGATTTGAAAAATTATCTGTAAATTTTGGTACAAACTGTAGCTTATTTTATCAGGTAAGATTATAGTCATTCAAAACAGTATCGTATGCAACGACTTATCTGATAAGAGTTTATCGGGTAAGACTTCTCATCCTTATCATCATCACTCTTATCGGGTACGATTCTCGGTCCTTGCTATATTCATCTGGTAAGGTAAATGACATGATAAACGTCCAGGTAAGCTCTTGCTATATGATTGGTGGATTCGAAAAATTCTCTGGAAATTTTGGGACAACAGATTTTTATGTTTTTTTGTTTCAGTAGAGTGTTTGTAAACTCTTACCATGAAATTATGTTTATAGGACGCTAAAATTGTCTGAAGGGTTGTTTACTAAATACTTACCTGGTAGGCGTCTACGAAAAAAAGTCAACACTCTTAACTTACTTTACCAGGTAAGATTGTAGTCCATCAAAACGGTATCGTATGCAACAATTTATCTGGTAAGGGTTTATCTGGTATAGTAAGACTCCTCATCATTATCATCACTCTTATCGTGTAAGATTCTCGGCCCTCGCTAAATTCATCTGGTAAGATATGTGACCTCGTAAACTTATCCGGTAAGTATTTAATAAACAAACCCTAAGGGGCCGTTTACCAAACACTTATCCGGTAAACGATTACTTGTAAAGTTTAACACTACCGGTTACTTACCGGGTAAGACTTTAGTCCACCAAAACGACATCGTATATGCAACAATTTATCCGTAAGCGTATATATACCATAGTAAGAGTCATTGTCTTCACTTATCGGGTAAGACTTTCGGTCTTTGTCTCCCTCTTACCAGGTAAAATTTTTGGTCCTTACCATATTCATCAAGTAAAGTAACATGATTTAGTAAGCGCTTACCCGGTTAAGCGCTTAGTAAGGACCCTTAAGTTTCTAAATAGACAGTTTTATAGGCCAAACATGTTATATGATCAAATAACAAACCGTCATATCTGAAAAGTTTGCAATAGGTTTATATAACCTTTTGGACGTCGTAACAAGTTTTTTTAACAAAATTTTAAAATAAAGCGTCGTATTAGCTGCTTTATGGGATACTATTTAAAAAAATGTCTTATAAAAAGATGTGTTTATATGACACTTTTCAAAAGTGGCATATAAGATAGTTAATACGATGATTTAATTTAAAATTGTCCTAAAATACCAAAAAACGTTCTACAAACCTATTCCATCACATAAAGATAAGACGTTTTATTGTTTGATCACATATACTTAAGTCCTATATAGTAGTCTATTAAGACACTTAAATATTGTTGGCGTCCTATAAACCCGATATTGTTGTAATGAGAACATCTTTTGACGAGTATTGTACGGAAATAAGATGACAACGCGAAGACAATATGAATATGAATGCAATTTTTGAATCCCGATTTAGAATTGAAACGAACCCATAACTTAAAAAAGTGAATTAATTCTGATAATATCTAGACTATATTAAAAAACATTTGACAAAAATTCTTAAAAAAACCATTTTTTTATGCATAAAGTACTGTTTATTGATGCATATTACTTGGAAAAAAAAGATTTCAAGTAAATTATATATAAGTACAACTTATTAAAGCTCCATGTTTGAGTTCGTGTAACTAATTGACGGATAAACATAATCAAATAGAGAATAAACATCTCATTTTAAAATATAAAAAATCTAAAATATAATTAGGATAATCATTGAGTTCTAACAAAATAAATAAATTATTATCTTATAAGAAAATTATATTATTAAACCAAATATAAATTATTTCGTTATTGAACCTAAATTAAAAATTGAATTAAAAAATTACACAAAAAAATATAAATTTTAAATAGTTAATTTGATACTATTATCGATATATTTTTGTTCAATTTTTATGATATTTTCAAGTTTATATTTTATTCAAAAATAAAAACATCATCGTCTTTTCAAAAATCACATAAGACCATACTATAACATCGACTGAGATAAAGAATAAAATAAAATATTAAAATCAAAATGTATCTCGCTGCATTGCGCGGGTACCCTTCTAGTGCTTTCAAATAGAAATTTCATATTCTTCATCAGGCTCGTATATGGCGAAAATGAGACGACAAAAACAAATACGTTATAAATATGAATGTGATTTTCGAAACCCGATTTTGATTTGAAATGAATCTGTAACTATAGACGAATGAATTGATTTTGATAAGACTGTTCCAAAAAAAAAAAAAAGTTTTTTAACTTTTCGTTAAGGCTTGTATACGACGAAGACAAGACAAGATGATAAAAACGAATACATTATGAATATGAATGAGTTTCGAAACCCGATTCTGAGTCAATTCGTATATAAAAAGGGAACTGATTTTGGTAATAAGGCTTTATTTGTTTTCTCAAAAAAACGTTTATCAACCTCTTATATCTAATTCGTTAAAATGTATGGTCATTCAGACTGTTTGTTTTTTCCAATTTTTCAGAGACATTTGTCTTAGTTCTCTTATCTGGTAAGAGGTAAACCGACCTCTTATTTCCCTCATATTCTTCTCTAGACACTTAGTAACGACGTTTCTCAATTGATTAATCTTAATCGATCATTTCTCTTAATTACCAAACTCAACCTCATCTCTCTCAATTGATGTTTATTTAATTAGACTTAAATGTGTTAAATACTGTTAATGGCATATTTCCCTTTAAATTAATGTTAATTATATAATTTAAATGTAAATTTAGTAATGATGATGAATAAATATGTGCAATTATATAAATTTATCTATAAATTCAACGTTATAATTTTCTAATGGGTAAAATAGACAATTTAAACAAATACAAACATTTATCGATTTACAAAAACAAACAAATGAAATAAAACTTCAAATTTTAACATCTATTAAAAAAACAGACACCACCTACGTTTTTTTTAAATAGAGAAATGTTTTGTAATTTTTGAGTCTCGAATAGGACGAAAATGAGATGACAAAAACAAAGCGACTTAATTGATTTTGATAATATATATATATATATATATATATATATATATAATATATATATATATTAAAAAATAAAAAAAGAGTTTCATTATTTAAACGTCATCACAAGTCGACATTTGGATAAAATAATTTAATTCTAAATGGTAAACCAGCTTTTTTTTATTAACCTGGATATTTATCAAACCAACGACTAATCACATGACGACCACCTGGTTTACGGGTTGTTCGGAGTCACCGTATTTGAACCTACGTGGTCACAAAAGGATTTTTATACTTAATTTGATTTGAATCTGGGACCTCCAGACACTTTTCACAAACAATGAGTGTGAATGTATAATTTTGAAATGGTAACGGTAAATGATAGCGTTTGAGTGACTATATGGACGATTTATGTAATTTACTCAATAATATATTAAATTGATATATATATATATATATATATATATCAATTTAATATATATATATATATATATATATGGTTGGGTTCACGTAAGATCAATGGTTTTTCGTGAGACCCGTAAGACCAATTTTTGTTCATTGATCAATTTTATAATCTAATGATCCAATGGTTAAAATTTAGCATTAAACTTTAAACTTGTAGGGGTATTTTTGACCTATATATTTTTTCTTTCTTTAACCTATATATATATAGATCTAATCCAAGGGTTAAGAATTGGTGTTACGGGTCTCACGAAAAACCCTTGGTCTCACATGATTCCAAGTCTATATATATATATATATATGTGTGTGTGTTATATGTAGGGGAGCGTTCAAATAAAAACCACCTATATATATATATATATATATAGTTGGGTTCGCGTGAGACCAAAGGTTTTTCGTGAGACTCCTAAGATCAATTTATGTTCATTGATCAACTTTATAAGCTAATGATCAAATGGTCTAAAATTGCACGGTGGCAATTTTGTGATTTTTGAGAAGTCTCGTGGCAATTTTGTGATTATAAATGTTCAGATTGTAAATCTAATTCAAGGGTTGAGAATTGGTCTTACGGGACTCACGAAAAACCCTTGGTTTCACATTATCCCAAGTCTCTCTCTCTCTCTCTCTCTATATATATATATATAGAGAGAGAGAGAGAGAGACTTGAGATCACGTGAGACCAGCCTATTTTCGTGAGACTCGTGAGACAAAAAATTTACACTTGAACCTTCATCGCATAAAACTATGAAGGTTCGGCTTTTTTTACCTTCACAACGTTTTACTGTGAAGTTTCAAAAGTAAAACAGTTGTCTTACGAGTCTAATGAAAACAGATTGGTCTCACATGAACCCAACCATATATATATATATATGGTTTCTGTTCATGTGGTATTCTTGTTTTTTTGTCTCACATCCCTAAACTTCGTTGGTTGCAAAAGACCCCTTGTGATATGCATTTTGTTTCAGTTTTGATCATCTCCTTAACTCCAATCCCCTTCGTTAAGTGCAAGGGAAAAAACCCTTATTTGAAAAAAACAAAACAAAACCCTAATGCCAGAATTTATCTTCTCGTTCTCTCTCTCTCTCTCTCTCTCTATGTTTTTTTATCCCTAAGTTTTGATCCCACCAGATATCAGTTGGATTCAAAAGCACGATATTGATCAGATTCAGAGGCACAACCTTAATCAATTTGAATTCTGATTCCGGAAAATTTCTCTGTTTGGATTCAGTGGCACAATCGATGTCTAGAAATTGTTTATTCTTTACTGAAAGTGATAAATGATATCGTTTAATTAAAGATTTTGGACTGTTCGTTTTATCGTTGACGATTATGTACAAGTTGGCTACATTTTATGTTTGTACTATCAAAAGCTTTGTTTACTTAATGAACCAGAATGAATTTTAGGGTTTGATCATCTTTTTGCTTCTTAATTTGTTTATACAGTGCTTCTTACTTTTCATCTTTTTCACCTCTCTCTAATGCTAATGATATTCAACAGGTTCAGTTGACCTAAGAATT